ATTATTAAGATTGAATTATCAAGTAAAACAAAGCAACCAGAATGGACTGTTTTATAAACGTATGAAAAAGCTGCAAACCTGATCGGCCCATTAGCGTAAATCTCTGCCATCATCTTCTCTCTCCCACTGACGGATCCGTAATCTCCCACCTTCCACAGAGTGTAGTTACTCACAATATTGCACACTCCAAAAGTGGTGCAGGTGCCACATTGGTTGAATTTATTGCACTCTTTAGAGAGAGAGAAACAGAACATACATGGCTCAGCCTCACAGGGACATGCAGCAGCCAGCCAGGGAAACATTTTGACCATAAAAACACAAATGTATTGTCTTCTAACAAATTCTGATGAAGTCCTTTAAATATATTTACTAATCTTAGTTGTTGCATATTTGAAAGAGTCTGTCTACTCTTGCACATGCGGTGAAATACAGTAAATCCTGTGCATTTTAACCTACACTGTGTAAAAACCTTTTAACGTCAATAATCCTATTCACCTAGGTTATCAGAACAGCATTCATCTGTCTTGCAGGAGTGTCCTGAGCCAAAACAGGGCCTCTTAGATTAGCACTGAGTAAACGGCATATGATCATCACTCTGGTCACTGTGTACACTTTGAAAGTCTTACTCTGGTCTTTAGCCTGGTAGTTATTACAGGTCTCATCTGGGATCCCGTGATTATTAGCATATTCCCAAACCCCGGCGTGGTGTCCTCCATGGCACGAGCCGGCATTACCGCAGTCGATCACATTCTGGACAGACAGGTAGGCAGATGGCCACGCTCCTTTCCGCTTAATGTTGATTCGATCTGATTTAATGCAAATAAGAAATAAGTAGCAGCCATTACTTTCTGTTCATCAGTGTCCCTTCTATGGAAAGAAGAAGTGAAAGCACACCTGTGTCATAATCTTGTGATGCACAATGTGACATAGCTAAGCTTTGCTGAGTCATACCTGCCATCGCACTGGTGCTGCCATGTGCCCAGCAGGACCCACAGTACTGGGGAATGTGCTGGTTGCGAGTAGTGCTGGCGTAGTTGGTGCCATTGATGTTCCTCCAGTCCCACGACTTCGGCAGATCAGAAATGTTCAAATACTCGTGAGGACGAGGTACGGTCCTGTGAACATA